TTAATCTGTCACATGTGAAGCATTTATTTAAGAGTACTGATGTATGCCAATTGGATAGACCTCATGGTAAGATAGATTTACTGATAGGTGCTGACTATTGCTCTCTAATCCCTACAGTTAAAGAAACTGTAGGTGAAAATTTACAACTTATGGAATCTCGATTTGGGATGTGTGTTCGTGGTAGTCACCCTAGTATAGCTTGTGCCTCAGGTACTAGGGATATTGTAGGCATCAGAATAAACCATATTTCTGGGATTATATATGACAAAGATATAACTGTTGAACCGAAATCTGATATTAAGGATCAGATTGATAAATTTTTCACAGTGGAATATTTAGGAACAGAATGTAATCCTAGATGTGGTGATTGCAAATGTGGCAAATGTGCAGTGGGTAACAATGACTATAGTATTAGAGGAGAGAGAGAGTTAGCCCTAATTGAAAAAGGATTACAATATGATTCAGAAAAAAAACAATGGTCCGCTAAATTCCCATGGGTTAAAGACCCTAATTTATTACAGAATAATATCTCTGTTGCTGTTGCCAAATTAAGGAGTACTGAGAAGAGATTGCTGAAACTTGGACCAGAATATGCTAAAGCTTATAACAACCAAATAAGGGATATGATCAAACGTGATGTTGCACGTAAATTAACACCAGATGAAATAAAAGGTTATGCTGGTCCTATTACATATCTTCAACATCATGAAGTGCTAAAGCCAGGATCTACATCCACACCAATTAGGATTGTCTTTAATTCCTCTGCCAAATTCATGGGACAATCTCTAAATAGCTTTTGGGCCAAGGGTCCTGATGTTTTGAATTCCATGGTGGGCATATTACTGAGATTCCGTGAAGGAGCCATAGGTATAGCAGGTGATATAAGTAAGATGTACAACAGTATTAAGCTTCCTGAAATGGAGCAACATGTACGCAGATTTGTTTGGAGAGATTTCCAGTTGAATTGTGAGCCTGAGCATTATGTGTTAACTTCAATGGGCTTTGGTGACAAACCTTCTGGAATAATTGCTATGTTGGCTCTTAAACACACAGCTGAGCTATGGATGGAAAAGTATCCCGATGCTGCTTCTATGATAATATCAAATTCTTATGTTGATGATATTATACAATCAGTTGAGAGTAAAGAGAAAGCTTTGCAGTTGATTCAGGAAACTGAGAAAATACTCTCATATGGCAATTTTAAGGTAAAGCAGTGGATTATGACTGGTGATGTTGATAAGGATGATCTAGATTTTTCAGAGAATGAAGGCGATAAAATTCTTGGTTTATATTGGGATCGTTGGAATGATGAATTTAAATTCAAAGCAAGGTTGAATTTTTCTCCTAAATATAAGGGTATACGAACAGGTCCAGATTTAAAATTTTCAAATTTTATTTGTAACATTCCTCCAGTTTTAACTAAGAGAATTGTTATAAGTCAGATGTGTTCTGTGTATGACCCACTAGGTTTACTTCTTCCATACACATTGAAAGCCAAAATATTATTACGGGAAACTGTCAGTTGCAGCACCAAGTTAGGATGGGATGACCCTTTGCCTGCCCATATGAAAGAGCAATGGGTAGTACACTTTCACAAATTATTTGGGATTGATTCCTTGTCATTTGAAAGATGTATCAAACCACCCACAGCGATAGGTCTGCCTATGCTTGTTATTTTTAGTGATAGTTCATCAAATGCATATGGTGCTGTGGCTTATGCTAGGTGGAAAATGAAATCTGGAATGTTTGAAAGTAAGCTAATAATGGCAAAAGGAAGAATAGCTCCTACCAGACAACTTTCCATACCCAGACTTGAATTGTGTGGAGCAATTATTTCATGCAGACTACGCAAATTAATCGAAAATGAATTATCATATAGATTTAGTTCAGTAATGCATATAACAGACTCGGCTATTGTGAGAGCACAGATCCAAAAGGAGTCGTATGGATTTGGGACTTTTGTAGCAACACGGGTAGCAGATGTACAATCGAAGAGTAATCCCAATGAATGGTGGTGGATTGCTTCTTGTCACAATCCTGCAGATTTACTTACTAGACCTAATGATCCATCAGATATTATCATCAGTTCATTGTGGAAGTATGGCCCAAAATTCATGACTCTACCCAAAGAAGAGTGGCCAATAAGTCAATCTATTGAATGTGACTTGCCTGATAGAGTCCATGTGAATTTAACACACTGTCTGAAGGACTCAGATGAATGTGTTATTGATTTATCTAAATTCAAAAATTACAATAAACTTATTGCAGTTACTGGTAGGATATTAAATGTAATGAAGATCAGATCTTTAAAGGGTATCTTATTAAGACTTGAACCTGATATTCTAAATGAAGCATTACAATTTTGGATCAGGCAAGCACAAAAATGTTTTTCTGGTAATTGGAAACAGAAATATCAAAGATTGGGACCATACAAGACTGAAAATGGTATAATTATGGTAGGTCAAAGACTGGAGCATTGGTTAAAACAAAATTGGAATCAAGATAACTTTATCCTGTTACCTAGGAAACATTTGTTTACTATACTTTATATTAGTCATTTGCATAATATAGATCATGCTGGAGTGGATGTTACACTTAGTAAACTGCAGACAAAGTTCTGGGTTCCTTCAGCACGTAAAGTCATCAGAGCAGTGAAACGTAAATGTGTTACTTGTAGGAGATTAGATTACAAAGTTGAAGGTCAGTGCATGGGTCAAGTCGCTACTGAAAGAATAACTCCATGTCCAGCTTTCTATCACACTGCTACAGATATCTTTGGGCCATTTCAAATAAGAGACAATGTGAAGAAAAGAACTACTGGTAAAGCTTATGGTGTTATATTTAATTGCATGGTTACTCGTGCTGTATATATTGATGTTGTTGATGGATATGATACCCATAGTTTCTTGAAGACTTTTAGACGTTTCACAGCTGTCCATGGATATCCAGCTACTGTTCATTCAGACTTAGGCTCTCAACTGGTATCAGCTAGTAAGGAACTTCAAATAGCTATAAATAACTGGAATATGTCTGATATTTCTGAATTTGGAACAAAAGGGGGATTAAAATGGATTTTCAACCGTTCAGCTGATGCAGCATGGCAAAATGGTGTTAGTGAGTCCTTGATCAAATCTGTGAAAAGATCCTTAGCCATGATAATTGGATCTACTCTGATGACATATAGTGGTCTACAAACTATATTTTTTGAAATTGCAAACTTCATGAATGAAAGGCCTATTGGATTAAAACCTGGTATGGATTTAGAATTAGGAACTTACTTGTGCCCAAATGATTTGCTTTTAGGCAGGGCAAGTAATCATGCACCATGTGGACCATGGAAAGATTCTTTCAATACAAAGAGAAGGTTAGATTATATACAAAATGTTGTTAATACATTTTGGCGTAAATGGCAAAGAGATTATTTCCCTACATTAATTGTTAGACAAAAATGGCATACTGATAAAAGAAATCTGCAGTCTGGTGATATTGTGTTGATACAAGATTCTAATACAGTTAAAGGAAAATGGAAAATGGGACAAGTTGTAAAAGTAGAAAAGGGAAGAGACACTAAAGTTCGGGATGTGAGTATTAGATATAAAGTGCAGAAACCAGGTAAAGAGTACAAAGGTCAGTCTGATACTATCATTAGAAGATCAGTCCACAAGCTGGTTGTATTATTACCGGTGGAAGAACAATGATTGTGTGGGGGAGTGTATCATTAGTTTGTATTAACTAATGATAATTTATTCCTTTTTTGTTATTTTATCACGCATGTCCAATTTCTGTTTTTTTATGTGCTGAGCATGATGGGAAATAGAGGTAACGCATGGGAATTTTGAGTCATAAACAAAGATTCATATTATGTTTTTGAAGTTGTATTATAAGTTGCAGTTTTATTTTCTTGTTGTTTTGGGATGCTAGAATTGTATTTAGCATCTTTAGAAGCAGATAAGCGTATTCCCAAAAAAGAGATCTTCTGTTCTAAGTGGAAAACAGGGATAACACTTCACGCTCACCAGATGAGGCAATGTTGTAAGTTTGATTTCTTTATAATTTGCATTAATATTTTGACATAATTTTATTTTTCTTGGAAATTCATATGAGTGATTTGGTATTTGTTTCATTTGTTGTGCCCATGTTATAAGATTTGTGTTATTTGTGTGTTAATGTTTATTGCAGGTCGAAATAAATCATAAACCATTATGACAAGCCGTATTATTTCTGGTGACCCGTGAAACAATATGTATATAGGCAGGTATCGAGATCATACACGAAAATTTTAAAATAACCCTAATTAAGAAATAAAAATCAGATAAATGGCTGCATCTTGTAATGATGAAAACAGTAGTAAATTTCACTGATTAGGCAATGCAGTGTGAAAAAGAAACACATTAAAATATTAGTCCCAAAGAGCCGACTATTTGAACAGAGTCAAACGGCGACGTAAAGAGCCTCCTTTCTCTCAGACACGAAGTTCCTTCAACCATTCCATTATTGCCTTTGGCCTAAGATAATATTTTGACTCCGGATTGCTATTGCCTTTTCAAAGAATTCATCTTGTATATATTCCCATGGATATCTTTCAAATCATACATGTCGTTTCTGTCTTTTACATTTGATATTAGATTGGCTTCATGAAAATACCTGTTTTTCAAATATTCACTCTTGACTATTGAAATCAAATGAATTGGAAGAAATTCTGCATTTTCTCTTATCTAAATTTTACACAAATAAAAGGAATATTACTAATTGATAAACGTTTACATGTTTAATCACTACCTTAATCCACAAGAGCTAGCATAGGCTAATTTCAAATAACCAAATCCAAGATATACATCAAGTTACAGCAAAACCAATCAGTCATACTTTCAGTTGAAAGCATTGTAAATTCAACACTGAATATGCAGTACCATTTATCAGGATCATTAATGACCCGTGGAATGCAATCGGATTTGAAAGATATCCACTTGTGCTCTCAGGATTCTGCGGGCGTCAGTTAA